CCTTGGTGGTTCATTGGGCTGGAGGAGGAGCCTGGCGGCGGCGGCGTCTGGGTCTGCGCCTGGCCGGGATGCGTGCGAAGCGGGTGCGGGTGCTGGAACTGGTGTTGCTGAGGCTGGGGAGACTGAGCCTGAGCCTGAGCCTGAGCCTGAGCCTGAGCCTGGGCTGGAGACGGCGCCTGCGGTATTTGGCCTGGAGGAGGGGTACCGGCGATGGTGGGGGGCGCGGCCTGGACGCTCTGGATGCTGGCGGTGGATTTGCGTTTGCCGAGACCAAGGCTCTTGAAGCGGGAGTTCAGCGAACTCATATGGAGGAGGGAAGAAGAGCAAGCCCGGGGACGGGAAGGGGAGGTGCAGTGAGAAGCGGAGCGGAGGGGAGAAGAAGGGCTGATTTGCTCGATGGGGACGAAGGCGCAGGTTTGCCGGGGCGAGAGGATTGGGCTTAGATCGGAGCAGGTAAGATTCAGGTCCGAGGCGGCAGCAGTTCTGGCGACGTTTGATGGTCTGGTGCCTTTTTAGTGTCGAGTGAGTCGGGACTCGACCTCGACTGGCTCAGGGCTGTGGCTTTAGGCGCCTGCAGAGGCGACGGAGGGCTGCTGGAACGGGGGGGCCAATGTTGCGATAATGCAATGCAGCGCAGGACGCACGGCGAGTGGTGGAGGATGGAGGGCGTTTCGTTTCGTTTCCTTTTGCTGTGCTTTGTTTTGATTTGGTTTGCCTGCGGTTGACAAGGACAAGGCCAACGCACCGCCAGCCAGGACACGGCAGAGGGCACAACTTCAGTTAGTTGAGGGCAGGACTCGCTCGACTGGACCCGGCAGGACTTGCGCTGCTCGCTCGTACGTTGCTTACACGAAGTACCTGCCGCGTACCGCTACCTTAGCGACCTTGCCTGGCACTGCTGCCACTTGCCTCCCCCACGTCTCCGTCCATTCACCAGGGCCAGATTGCCATCAAATGAAGCGACCCCGACCTGGCAGTCAGAATTTAGCAGCCCTCTGGAGCACGAGCAGCCGGCTGGAGGGGCTGTGGGCTGTGCAGCGGACAGCAGAGACAACACAGAGAGAGGAGTTCTCGCCGCCTCCCGGGCAGGGCTGAGCGGCAGCTCGAGAACGCCTAGGCGATGCGCCTTGCGCAGCATCCCAGCAAGGAACCACAGTCTGACACTGACAACACCGCAAGATGCAGCACGGAGCGGCGCCTTTCTTCAGCTATTCCCGATGCTGTACGATTCTCTTCTTCGAAATACTTGATGATATCTCTGCGTGGAATCACAAGAACTGGACAGCAGGCACTTC